AAGGTCAAAAGCAATGGCTTTGAAAAAGGCAGAATTCCACACAAGTTTGACCCCAGAAATCTGAAGCCCTTGATTATTTATATATCTATAGAAGCAGCAGAGCTGTTGTTTCCCAAAGACTGGACATGACTTTGCACTCACATATGAATCTATATTTGCAGGATCATAAAATCTGTGGCTATAAAAACAATTGGTGCTGCACAATATAAATGCTGAACATACATATTTACTGGTGGTATAAATACAAAACATGCCCCATTGTGCATAAAGAGATCTTTATAACTAAAACAATATGGAAGTATTGTGACATCTTTAGGACTAACACATTTATTTCTGTGTAAACTTATGTGGATTACAATTCACTTTCTCAAACATGTGCCATACAGTATTTAGGCCACAGTTTTATATACACAATGGATGTTGTTGCAGGGATAGTGATTGAGTGAAATCAGATGCAGAAGATGACAATGGCATTATGAACGTAAGTAATGGATTTTCAAAATGTTGATTACATAAACATCTAGGCAACAGACAGAGTAATAAGCTAATGCAAATTGTCTGTTGGCTGATACACAATGGTTAGGCTTCTGTCTGTGAAGCGCTGAAAGCAATTAATTTTTGTTCTCAGGAAATAGCCGGCTGTGATTTCCCTTTGAAATTCCTTTTTTTGCTACAATGGCCAGTTTGCGATTAGTGATAGAGTGTCCTGAGAGGTTAAAATGTTCTGTCACTGACTTCTCTACATTGTCATTTCTGATGTCAGATTTGTGTTTGCTTAGTCTTTAGCACAGAGTCCATTCTGTCTGCCCTATATAGAATGCATACTAGCAATGCTGGCAGAAGATGGTGTACATCACAACAGAACTTGAAGAAGAAGCCATGTTAGTCTGTGCAACCAAATAAGACAAAACAAAATAAAACAGAGAGGGGCGGGGAGAGAGAAAGAGAGAGAGAGAGAGAAATGTTGTGGCACTTTAAAGACTAACTGCTATATTTTAATGTGAGCTTGTGGGGAACAAGCCCATTTTTTGACGCATAAGAGTGAGACAATACGACTGACATGTTTATACAAGGACACATGATCAGGTGAATACACAGATAATGGACAAATGGCAGTGATTTGTTAGTAAAGGAATAGGCTATCAGGCTGTGGATATTTTCAATTATCAATGTTAACAATAGCATAGCTGACACAATTAGCAAATTGTGGGGTTCACTGTAGGATTTCACATTTGATAATCACCACATTAGAAGATTAATAAGTAAAAGAACCCCTGACACTCTTAAGTTACAGTTTTTTAACCTGTAATGACAGAGCAGAGGTAGGAATATACACTGATCAGCCATAACACTGAAGTGGTGAAGTGAACAGCACTGATTATAAAGTACTCTTAAAATGGCACCTGTCAAGGGGCGGGATATATTAGGCAGCAAGTGAACAGTAAGTTCTTAAATTTCATGTGTTGGAAGAAGGAAATATGGGCAAGTGAAAAGATCTGAGTGGCTTGGACAAGTGCCAAATAGTGATGGCTAGACAACTGGGTCAGAGCATCCCCAAAATGGCAATTTTTGTGGGGTGTTCTTGGTATGCAGTAGTTAGCACCTAGCACAGGTGGTGCAAGGAAAGACAACCAATGAACCAGCATCAGGGTTGCAGGCACCCAAGGCTCATTGAGGCATGTGGGGGAGCAAAGGCTAGCCCACCTGGTCTGATTCCACAGAGGATCTACTATAGTTCAAATTGTTGAAAAACTTAATGCTGGCCATGATAGAAAGGTGTCACACAGTGCATCACAGTTTGCTGCATATGGGACTGCATAGATTGTCCATGATGACCCTTTCCACTGCTGAAGGTGCCTATAATGTGGACGTTAATGTCAGAACTGGACCACGGACCAATGGGAAGAATGTCTGATGAATCACATTTTAGATCAAGTTGGTGGCCAGGTCCATGTGAGCCATTTACATGGGAAAGAGATGACAGCAGGATGCACTAGAGGAAGGAAGGATGGCAGAGCAGTGATGCTTTGGGCAATGGTCTGCTGGGACTTTGACACATACCACCCACCTAGAGATTGTTGCAGACCACATACACCCTTCATGGCAATGATGTTCCAAGATGGCAGTGGCCTCTTTCAGCAGGATCATACACCTGCCACACTGCAAAAATTGTTCAGGAATGGCTTGAGGAACATGACAAAGGGCTCAGAGTACTGAGCCAAATTCCAAATTCCCAGATCTCATTCCAATTGAACATTTATGGAATTAGTCAGGTGGTTTTAATGTTGCTGCTGATCAGAGTATATTGCATCATCCTATAGCAGGATCTGGATCCTGTTTCTGCATCCATGCCATGTGCACCATTATGCATCAGTATTTGTTTAAAGCTGAGAAGCTATCTACAAGCAAGCACAGGCCTGTGAATCAGAACTATTATTATTACAATTGATAACTCACCAACTTAGAGCTCATTCAAAACAATAATGCACCTCTTTCACAGGTCTTGGCTGGCACACTGGGCTCACTGACAGACATAAACTGTCCACTCCATATCTTTAACAACTACTGATACCTAACAGGCTATACAGTGGTGCCTCGCTTTACAATTGCCCTGCATTACAGGGCAATGTGTATATAAGCCTGTAGTTTAAATACAGTATTGTACTTCATGTGTCTGAGGTAGTTGACTGTAACCCATGAAAGCTCACAATGAAATAGACATGTTAATCTTAAAAGAGCCACAATATTTTTGTTTGTGTGTATATGTGTGTGCATGTGTGCTTTGGTTAAACATGAGAAAACAGAGTAAGATGGCTAACTTTTTGAAAATATGTTTCCTTTGTGATTGCTTTATAATATTAGTACTGTATAACATAACATAACATTGCAATATTACCAACTTGTTCATATTATATAAGATAAAAATGCTATAAAACTATTCAAAATATACTTTGAAGTACAACAGTATTCACTTTAAAGTGTATCTATTTTTAAACATCTGGTGTTCCGCCTTTGAAAGAACAGACACTGGCTCAGAAAGTCCGTTAAGCGAGGCACCACTGTACAACATGGATACAGAATCAGGAACAAGACTCTGATACAAACCTGGTTACCAACTGTATATCCATCCACGCACATTCACATCTTTCCTGACAGCAAAACTTGTTGCTTCGACACTTCAAAGACAAAAGCCTCAGCACTGTGTATGTATCAGCCAGCTGCTCATTTGCATTAGTCAATTTTTCCATCTATTGCCAAGATTTTCATCTAAATCAATACTCCAAAAGTTCATTATCTGAGGTAATAATGATATTGCCATCTTCTGCTCCCATTTTATTTCCTCCCTATCCATGTACAATGTGTATATAAGCCTGTAGTTTAAATATTGTACTTCATGTGTCTGAGGTAGTTGACTGTAACCCATGAAAGCTCACAATGTAATAGACATGTTAAACTTAAAAGAGCCACAATATTTTTGTTTGTGTGTATATGTGTGTGCATGTGTGCTTTGGTTAAACATGAGAAAACAGAGTAAGATGGCTAACTTTTTGAAAATATGTTTCCTTTGTGATTGCTTTATAATATTAGTACTGTATAACATAACATAACATTGCAATATTACCAACTGGTTCATATTATATAAGATAAAAATGCTATAAAACTATTCAAAATATACTTTGAAGTACAACAGTATTCACTTTAAAGTGTATCTATTTTTAAACATCTGGTGTTCCGCCTTTGAAAGAACAGACACTGTCTCAGAAAGTGTTCAATAGTTATGACGATACTAGATGGAAGCCACATTTCACACAAAGTTCAGTTTTTCTCAAACTGTAGATTCAGACCGATAGGTCAGTCCTGATATGTACTTGAGTGAGTTGCACAATGAGAAGATTTTAAAAAATTGGTACGTATTTCTCTAGCCAGGTCTGACCCCATCATAAGGCAGAGTGAGGTGGCCATCTCAGGAAGCAGAAATGATGGAGAGGTGTTAGACAGCAAAGCCATATATAGTACATTTACTCTGCCCTGTCCTTTGAAGCTGGCCTGCTATCTGCATTGTAGAAAACATTGTGTTGTCACTGGCATAACAGAATCAATTGTTTTGTTGGTGTCTGCTACTGGATTGGGGAGAGAACACTAATGTCTTCTGACTCAGACAGCAAGATGTCTTGGAGTAAAGCAATGAGAACCAATCATTGTCATCCACTGAACCTACCCTCTTCCTAGAAATTTATACACAAGGAACCAATACACAAAATTATGTCAAATTTGTTTCCTCGCTGTAGAAGCAACCAGATGTTCCAGTTAGGTTTGTTTGCTTCAAACTCATGCTGCACAGGGTGCTGCTTCTGAGTGGATGCTTTCCCTGAGAGGGTGGGATGCCGAAGTGCAGAAGACCTGTTCGGTTGTTTGCTGCACTGGCACAAACTGGCAGTTTGTGCCCATCTCTATGTACAAATGTTATTGTGATACAATAAAGCTGGAAGCTGTTCATGGTTCAGGGAGTAGGATATGTCACTCACTGACATTTCAGGGTACGGCACTTGTACTCTAATCACTGGTCATACTGTATGAGGCATTGTGGGAATTGAATCTAAACACAAAACCTTTGCAAACTAGGATGGTGACTGACCTCTGCCAGAATGCACATCTTGACCAGCTGCTGTTGTCAGTGCAACATCACAAACTCTTTTTTTAAGGCAAACGATAGAGCCTGAACATGTGTTTTTACTTTTCTGGTGCAGCAATTAGTATGATTGCAGGCTGGAGAATGAACAGTCCAGCTTCACATTTTCTAGATTTTAGTGCTTCAATATGGTACATCCTAGGTTCTATTAGAAACACAACACAAATATGTACATCATGAAGCACTGGCAAAGAATGATCTAGTTCACATAACTTCTCATATAGTAATTACCAGTATCTGGGTTGGAGAAATCAAAGAAAGAGAATATTTAAAATGAAAATATTCTGCCATAATCAGAAATTATACTTACTTTGTGAGACTCTTACTAGCTCAGTCACACTGAAAACGCCTGATGTGACAAAACTGTCTTGGAAGCCCAAATGTCCTAGAAAACAGAAGAAAATTATAGATGTGATTAGCTTTAAGCTCTTAATAACAGTATTCTCAAATACTTTGGTATGTGTATAATAGGAAATAAATTGAATATTTAATTTCCCACTTATCATTAATTGCTGTTTAGGTAGGCAGATACATGGTTAGAGTTTAGGGAAGTTAACATGACACATTAACAAACGGAACTGTACATATTAAAGCATCACAGATGGAAATCTGAAACAAAAGAAGCTCATTTTAATAAACAGTTACCCCAGATGACCCCAACGACTTAACAACTGAAATTAAAACACTGTACCCAGGAATCAGATGGGATAGCTAAGTTCTATAATCGTTTTAAACATGATTCTCGAAAGAAACATCTGATCAGGATTAGCTATTCACTCATTCAAGCAAAACAAGATTTAAAGATGTATTCTTCATTTTCTGAGGTTACATTCGGAAAATCTCAAAATCGCAGCTGTTGAAAAATCTCAAACAAGGATGCTTTTTAAGAACTGGAGCGAGGAGAGATTTTTTTAAAAAAAACTACTTAAAGCAAGCTTTTCAAAAAGGAAACCTGACCTTTGCAAAAGATCTTTCTCTGAATTTCTTTAAAGGACAGAGTATATTGTTGCCTGCCTGTTCCATTTATGTAAAAGATATTTTATATCAAAATGTTATTACACTTCCCGGAACAGTATTTCCCTTCTGTGAAAACATGTCTATCACCAAATATTAATTTAATTTTCTGAGTATAATCAATTACAAAACAAGAAGCTCTCAAATACTGCAAGTGGGACATAAGGAATTCTGTCCGAATGAATTCGGCTGAATCCAGACACCACAGTGAGTACAATACATATCAGGACTTCAGTGAGAAGACTGTGGCTGATAGGATGGCATGACCTATTGCTTTTGAAATCAGGGTCAAAGAAATCTGAGGATAAAGAGATTATTAAAAGACCTGTAAAGTCGTTCTTGTCTGTAGGATAAGTGTCATACCTTTTAAGGTTGTTCTAATTAAGGCCACCAATTCCAACACATGCACATATACTACTAAATCTAATTAAAAGGCTCTGTATGTCAAGATACAGTAAAATTATCAGAAGTAAGAACTGATCTCATTATATATACTTCCAAACAATACAGACTACAATATTTCTTTAATCAAGTTCCTGCATATCATACACATACACACAAACCAGTATAAATAAAACAAACCCAAACTTTATAATTATTTGTTGAACTGCAGGAATTAATCAAACTAGAACGACATATTGATTTATCAGAATCTAAAATTGCCAGTCTGTTTCTGCAAAAGCATTATTAGAAGCAACCTATGGACTTTCTTGATTCAGGCAACACATTTCAGCTGATTTCCCAATAAATAATGCAATGCTGAATGCACATTTTGCAACCCACAGGCACTAGGCTAGGACACCGGCTTTGCCAGCATTCTTTTGCCTTCTACCACCCAGGGCTGCGGAGTCTGCAGCAAACACTGAAAGCTGCATGAAGGGTCTGGGTCCTGCCAGCCTATTAGCTAATGTTTCCCCTAGATAGCTACTCATGTAAGCTGAAGGTCAGAGCTTTAAGCTCTTGAATAAATTCAGAATACAATACTTATCCACGGAAATCAATGAAGACTTTACTACAGTGAGCTGCATCCTCAAATCATAAATTACCCCGGCGTAACTCAGGTGTATGCTTTTAATCTCAGGAAGGGATTACTTCTCTAGTCATTACTGAATACAAGCCTTTCATATATTAAGATGCACCTTAATGCACCTTAAGACTGAACAGAGACACTCTGGGAAATGTGCAGAATAACTAGACATTATGCACATTCTCCATAGTCGTTTGACACCTTCCCTCTATAATCAACATGTATAGTATGCTTTCCCCAGCACAGCACCTTACAGAGATGGTCTAAAAGATTAATATTACCTAAAAACAATAGTAATGTAAGTATTAAAAGACGAGTAAATATGCCCCTCAAAAAACATGACTCTAACCTTAGCAACATTAAAAATCCAAGGGAATACGTGCAAAAAACACACAATACTGAAGTACGTATACACACATTTTTGGAATGCATATTTAAAATTTTAATTGCATATCCTCTAAACATCGTTTTTCCATTTATCATAGTGCAACACCAACTCAGAAAGGTATTGTGATAGGAAGTATTTTAATACACAGCAACATCTTAAAAATCTTAAAATAGTAATGATCAATTAGAATCTCAAGCCTATTATCTTAACCAAATGCCTGATTAGAAAGGAAGGCTTTCCCTACTCTAACCACAACTCGATTCCTCTTGGCATTATCCCCTACCTAGATAATGCTCTGTTTCACAAACAATGTCAAGCCAGTAACTCCTAATAATACTTACAAATCAGGTGTCTATGACACTAGTTACAGGGACACTATCGGAGAATCATTGCAAAGATATCTTGACTTTCTTAGCAGTATGTCTAGCAGGTCAAGCATTTGTCACAGTCATACACTTTGATGTGGCAGCGAAGCTGTAACACACCGGGCACACTACATTCAGGACATTAATTTGGATTGCCATGTACTTTAGCATTAGAAATCTTCACAAAATCTGTGACATTCTTATATTTCAACTGCATTACAATCTTTGGCCTTCTCCTATGTTGACACAGGATATTTACAATTACATACAAAAGTTTTTTGGGGTCAGGTTTGCCAGTAAATTATGACAGAAATATAAACTGTGTTATGAATCATAGCATACAAGTGAGACAACTGGAATTTTCTAAGAGGTCCTACTAAATGTGGAAATAAATTAGCAAAAAAAGAAAAAAGAAAAAAGAGAGAGATGAAGAAACAAAAATAATAATAATTTTTTGAAAGTTCGGATCTGTGTGGCAGCAATTCACAGCTTTTCGTAAATTTGTTTCCTGAGGTGGAGCTCATCTTGGAGACTGCAAATCCCGTCCCTCAATGCTCCAGAAAGGACTTCATGTCATTATGTAATATTGCCAACAACACAATCTGCTTGAGGCTGACACTGCATCATGATACCATATACCTCCTGAGGCACTGTGTGTACGCCGGGATGAAGTTTAGCCACTTAATGAAATCTCCCTTCCAAATTTGCTACCTGCCAACGGGCAGATGAATTCAGTGTCACTGCCACACTAGAAAGAGAACGGACAAAAAGCTCCCCAAACCACCAGAATTCTCATTCATTGTGCTTAACTTTATTTACAGCAAGGTAAAAAAAAGATTTCAACTTTAAAAAGAAGTGAAGGCTACGAAAACGTCTTGTCTCACTGTGGAATATACAGGTATTCAATCACACACTCTTACGTGAAGGTGATGATCATTAGATGGCACATCGTACTTTATTCTGCCCATGCCACTTTATTAAAAAGCTTCACAATTTGATCCATACATTAAAAAATTATTTAAGGAACAATCCTACACCCACTTAGCTGGGAACAAGCCCTACTGAAATTAATAGGCTTCAGTTTTGAGTAAACATATCCGGGACTGCACTGCTGTTGCCCCCAAATCCAAGAGTTTTACTACATTAAACTTATTTCTATTCCTTTAAGAAATTTGTAAACTGAAATGCAGTATTTCACATTATTTCCTTGTATTGCTCCCGCTACAATTCTTTTCTAATGGTTATTTTTTCACTCCAACTCACGATAACACAATTAATTAACCTTGGCTGTTTTGTCATCCACCCCGATGACGGGTCTCTTTTAAAGTTAACTATGAAGCCACTGAACCCACAATGTCTGTACTACCAGAAGTTTCCTTGGACTGCACAGACAACATTAGAAAAGCTTTAATCTTGACCCAGAAAATTCTTTGAAGAATACGGAAAAAAGGATAAGACCATCCAGGCCAAATTATGTTAGTACAATGGAGGGATATCTTAAAGACTTGAAAGCCATGTAATACAATTCTAGACTGGATTTTTTCCTGTTGAAAAAAGCAGAATACAAGTGGCTAAAAGAAAAAAGAGCCAATATTTGACAACACAAATCAGCATAACCTTTTAACTGCAGCAGTCATGGATGACTACCCTTTGACCTGGAGAGATTATGTGGGATTTCAATGACAACAGCTGGAAGTGAGCATGTGTGAATAGAGAACACAAGATCCTAGGCCTTATACAAAGGCCTGTCCAGATCAGAGCATTGATTAGAAATTGTCTCCTAGGTCCCAGCTTAATAGAGTGTAATAATGCAAGTTTTGTTAACTCTTCACAACATGCAATATTAGGAGGAGTGTTGTGCTCTTTTGATATATGTCACAAATCCCCCACTTAATGAAGGTCCTTTCAGAACTACAGCAAATATGGCAATTTGTCTGTAGAGGAATACCTGCATGGTTTAGTCAGATCAACCGCCTGCGTCTAGAAACATGCATTTATGGCACTAAAAGCAACAAAGCTCAATAGCTGCACAGCCCAGATGAACATTTGCCATCTCAGCAAGAACTTGCCTGTACGTATGAGATTAAAAAGGGAAGAAGTCCAAATTGACAATACAAAGCTACTTTTCTAATAAACCAAACAACTGTACATTTAGCGCAGTGATGCACCCTATTGAAAGTGTGCTCTGCCACCATATGGAGAGACAGTGAGTCCACAGTCCCTAGCCCTACCACTGCATCTCTTAGTGGTCCTATCTTCCTGCTGTCCCAGGGTGCATGGGGTGCATGACCGTGTATACACAGAAGGTCATTAGGTTTATGAAAAAATGCTCAGGGCTGAAGTCTCAAACAGCTAACTTAATATCTAATTGCTTGACAGGATGACATAATATAATGGCAATGGCACCATCCAATGTTATTATAAGAAAAGGCAAACAGGAGTATTTGGTGAAATAAAAATTGATCAACTTTTAATAGAAAAATCAACAGTATAGACACTGTTTAGGGAGTCAGATCTTTGAAAGCAACAGTTGGTAATGTTTTTAAAGCATTTTCATGCTTCCAATCCAAAAGGAAACACTACAAGAAACA